CAAGTTGGGAGTCACACTTGGCCTCGATGACCTATGCTCCCAAGCTCCTAGCTGGCTCGAGACCTGCAATCATGGCCTCATACCCAACCTCATTGTTAGTCAATTTGAAAGTTTTGATAGACTGCCTAATTGTACTGCATGTCATGTGGATGGCTTCAAAACGATGCCTATCCCGGACCCCTTCACATTTGAAGCACCGTTTGTGAAAAGGGTCCACACCCCCGGTGATGTACCCGACTTTAGCAATAATTCCTTTTCGACCTCGGGTACGAGGGCTCGTGTGAAGTCGGCCACGAAGTCTGCCAAGATTTGAGTCTTGATGGTTGTTCGGGGTTGATATTCAATATCGTACCCGCTAATCTCGACGACCCATTTGGCCAGTCGGCCCGAGAGTTCGGGCTTGTGCAGAATGTTGCGAAAGGGGTAGGTGGTTACAACACAAATAGAGTGACACTGAAAATAGGGTTTTAATTTCCTAGAGGCGCTTATAGGGCAAGCGCTAATTTTTCTAAGTGTGGGTATCGGGTTTTGGCCTCACCTAAAGTTCTACTAACATAGTAGATAGGAAATTGCGTACCTTGCTCTCCTCGAACTAAGACACCACTTACCGCAACTCCCGAGACTGCCAAATATAAGTAGAGTTGCTCGTCCATTTTCGGAGTATGAAGCAACGGTGGGCTCGAAAGATACCGCTTTAATTCTTCCAATGCCTGTTGGCATTCCGGGGTCGAAGTGAAATTGCTCTTGTTTTTGAGAAGTGAGAAGAACCTGTGACTTCGATCTGAAGACCTCGAGATGAACTGGCCTAAAGCGGCTATCTGCCCTGTTAATCTTTGTACGGCCTTAATGTTGTGCGCGATTGTGATGTCTTCAATTGCCTTGATTTTATCGAGATTGATCTCGATTCCCCCATTTTACAGTATAAAACCAAGGAACTTGCCTGAACCGACCCCGAACGCACATTTCTCGGGGTTGAGCTTCATGTTGTATTTTCTCAACATGTTGAAGGTTTCCTGTAAATGTGTCAAATGGTCCTCTGCGCGTAGGGACTTAACTAACATGTCATCAGTATAAACCTCTATTGATTTACCTATTTGTGCTTCAAACATTTGATTTACTAGGCGTTGATAAGTAGCACCAGCATTTTTTAACCCAAACGACATTACATTATAGCAATAAGTACCGTACTTAGTAATGAATGAAGTCTTTTCCCGATCCTCTAGGTTCATTTGTATTTGATTGTACCCAGAGTAGGCATCGAGAAAGCTGAGGGTCTCGTGGCCGACCGTAGCATCGATCATATGATCGATATTCGGCAAAGGAAAAGAATTTTTAGGGCATGCTATGTTTAAGTCTTTATAGTCCACACACGTTTTGAGTTTATTCCCCTTTTTAGGAACTACGACTACGTTTGCTAGCCATTTGGGATATTTTACTTCCCGAATGGACCCTATTTTGAGAAATTTGGTTAACTCATCCTTGATGAATGTATGCTTAACCTCGGACTGTGGCCTTCTCTTTTGCTTTTCCGGCCTGAACTTCGGGTCCAAGCTTAATCGATGAGTGGTAATATCCGGTGGGATCCCTGTCATGTCAAGGTGGGACCAAGCAAAATAATCCATATTTTTAATAAAGAATTTAGTGAGTTTTTCCTTGAGCTCGGGGGTTAGCCCCCTGCCTAGGTATACCTTCGACCGGGCAGGTGCTCAATTAGTATGACTTATTCCAGCTCTTCAACCGTTGACTTCGTGGCATCGAAATCATCAAGGATTACGAAGGTTCGAGGTATCATATAATCATCATCCTCGAAATTTTCCTGCTGCTCCGATCTGGTTGAGGCCGGCGACTGTGGTTGCTATTTGACTTTCTGCTTTCCCTTCGATTCCGATCCCTTCGTTGATGATAGTGCCGATACCGGTATTACTTCATCAATTGCAAATATTTCTTTGGTTGTGGGTTATTCGCGGTACACCATTTTGATTTCTTCCGGTGTTGGGAATTTCAAGACTTGATGAAGCGTTGAAGGTACTGCCCTCATATTATGAATCCAAGGTCTTCCGAGCAGCGCGTTGTATCTCATATCACCATCAATTACATGGAACTTCGTTTCCTGGATAGTCCCGGCTACATTTAACGGCAAAATGATTTCCCCTTTGGTGGTTTCACTCGCCATGTTGAAACCGTTGAGTACTCGATTCGCACGCACGATTTGATCCTGGAGGCCGAGTTGCTCTACGACCCTTGATCGAATAATATTTGCCGAACTAACTGGATCAACCAACACACGTTTAAGTTGAATTTTATTTATAAGAATAGATATTAATAGCACGTCGTTGTGAGGCTGTTCGACCCCTTCTGCATCCTCGTCGTTGAAAGATAAGGTATCTTCTGATAAGTAGTCCCGGGTACGCTTCTCCATTGTGATTCTAACTTTGGTGCATTTAAATGTCGGGCCATGAGGAATATCGACTCCACCAACGATCATATGAAAACCGTGCTACGGTTCCTCCTGTTCGTTTTTCCTATTTGCATCCATGTCTCGTAAGTGATTTTTAGCTCGGTCACTCAAGAACTCTCGAAGATGACCTTTATTGAATAAACGATCTACCTCTTCCCTTAATTGTCTGCAGTCTTCAGTTTTGTGACTATGGTTTCCGTGGTATTTGCACACTTGATTTGGGTTCCTTTGAGCTGGATCGGTCTGTAAGGGTCTGGTCCATCTAGTGTCCTTAATCTGACCGATGGATGATACAATACCTGATGCATCGATGCTGAAATTGTATTCTGACAATCGAGGTGCTTCCTTGGATCCGGTATCCCTATCGAAACTGCTTTTGCTCATAAGCCTTCGGGAACTCTGTCTTCGATCATTTCTTCGATCATTCCGTACGGGGTTGAGTCCGGCCCCATTATTTCTCCAATCTTCGCTGTATGGCTGATACCTGTCTCTATTTGATCGTGGTTCCCGATCGACATCCCTTTTAACCCTGTCCACGGACATGTTGGGATTAATCGAACCAGTTGGAGTTCCCAATTGATCATCTTCGACCCTAATCTTCGACTGATACCGATTGTGTACATCGGCCCAAGTGATAACTGGATATTCGATTAAATTTTTCTTTAACTGTTGTGAAGTTATGGAACTCCGAGTGTTGAGACCTTGTGTAAAAGCTTGAACGGCCCAGTCATCGGTGACTGGAGAAAATCCATTCATTCCTTTTGGAACCGAGATACGAATTCCCTTTGCATCTCGTTACCCTTTTGTCTTACTTTGAAGAGGTCCGATTTCCTTGTTGCAACTCTGATGGCTTCGGCGTGGGCTTTCACAAAAGAATCTGCGAGCACGGCAAACGAATCAATAGAGTTGAGTGGTAAGTTATGATACCATATCATGGCACCTTTCAATAAAGTTTCTCCAAATTTCTTCAATATAACATATTCAATCTCATCATCTTCTAAGTCATTTCCCATTCCGCATGTGTACGAAATGATGTGTTCATTAAGATCGGTGGTCCTATTGTACTTGGGGATGTCCGGCATACGGAACTTCTTACGGATGGGCTTCGGAGCCACACTTTGAGGAAAAGGCTTCTGCACAAACTTTTTCGAATCCAAACCCTTTATGATCGGGGGTGCCCCCGGTATTTGATCAACCCGTGAGTTGTATGTTTCTACATTTTTATCATCAGCCTCAATTTTCTTTTCTCCCGATTCAATCTGTTTAGTGAGCTCCTCGAGCATCTTCGTGATGGCGGGGGTCAGTTCCCGATCCATTATCGTTCAATTTCTCCTTTACAGGTTCGACCCTATGAACAACTTCTTGTGATGTATCGAGTTCGATTATGCTTGGTGCCCCATTTTGATTTTGGAGTTGCGCTATCGCAGCCTGCTAAGTTTGTGACATTTCAAATATCATTTGAAGGCTAATTCTTCACCACTCTGTGCATTCTGATTGGCTCCCGGCGTCTCCACGGACGCTATTTTCATGGTCGGCGCCTAAATTTTCATGAATCGCAACACGAGAATTGACATCGATTGGATCTACGGTTTGTGGTCCATCGGGATTGATTGGAGGTACTCCGTTTCCCGGGGCGACTATGTGCTCGTTCTCGCCATGGAGACCAAGGCCGGTGTTTGTGTGATTGGGCACTGCTTGAGAGTTTGACATGTTGATTCCTGAAATCAAAGACACTTACGACTTACGAGAACAAGTGTAAAAGCAGTGTGTGTTATGAGGATTAATACTAGGCAACCACTATTATCCTTAGGCTCACGGTGGATGCCAAACTGGTTACCCTAAAAACTGGATAACAATTAAACTAATACCAATTGATAACGTAAAGGTAAGTTATGGAAATTGACAAGAATGTAAAACAAACCAATGCTTGGACAGTGCCCTCAAGCTAATGAACCCTCAAGCTTAGTAGAGCAGGAAAAATTTTAAGAGTAGTAAGTTGATAAACAAGAGAAAGTATATTGAAGAGAGAATTGTATATTGCTTTGGTCTCTGTCAATGTAACCTTCTACAAATGATGAGGACTCCTCTTTATATAGCAGAGAAATCCTAATTAAGGTATAACTCTAATTACAGAATTAAATACCATGACTGGAACATATTTGATTCATTCCGAGATTTCCGCGGTGATCCTCGATCGGCTACGGATATCTTGCTTTTTCGTTATTATGCTTCGTTCGAAGTCTGTCACATTTGGCCTTGGTTGCTATACCTTTGGATTTCGGTAGGCACTTCGATGTTTAGACCCGATGCCTCGTATGATTCATTACGAGGCTACCCCGATGTAACTCCCTTATCTCGATCAAATAGCAAAATCGGCCCGATTTTGCCCGTATACAACAATGTTACGAAACATTATAAAACGATATATAACAAATATTCAAACAAGCTGTAAAGCAATAAAATTAATAATTCTAAAATTAAATATAACATATCAAACATTATATAAGAAATAATATCGGAGCATAACTTGTCTTCAAATAAAAAGAAGAAAGAAGAACAGAAAGCTATTTTCTCCTCAAAAGCCCCTTTTGTTCTTGCTGCTCCAATTACACAGAGCTTCATTAACCATCTTTCTTTAAAAATCCCCTCCCTTCAAAATTTCGCGAAGTTATTGTTCATCGCTGCATTCTACCCAAAGTGAGTGAGTTATTTGCACATAAAATACTTTTTAAAAATTACAGCATGCATGTATCTTTTAGTTTGAAATTTTGAACGACATTGTGTTGATCTTTTCTCTTTCTTGGTTTAATTACAGTGGCAATGGACTTAGGGAGCAGATTTATTAACCCTACAGCTAAAAGGTTACAGCCCTGTAGCCCCCGAGGTAAATTCCCATACCCCCCCCCCCCCCCCCCCCCCTTTTTTTTTTCTGTACACCATGTGGTATTATACGCGACCTAGTTTGATTTGCACTTTTTGCTAAAAAGTAAAATCAATCAGTCAAATCAACCACTTTTTAGCCCCAAATTATCAGTATTTAACAAAGTTACTAGCTGAAGTTACATGGAACTCTTTTTTAGTGTTGATGTTTACAAATACCTTATTAACAGACATTTGCCTTCAGTAAGTTCAATGGATACACGGAGCTGTTCTTTTGAAAAGAAAAAAGATTTTAGGCTTAGTAGTAGTAGTAGTAGTACTAGTTGTTGTATTATAAGTATCTACTTATTTGTATTATAAACCCCATTTATGAAAGGTGTGAAATTATTAACTATCACTTAAGGTGTGAAGAAATTCTTCATTCATTATGTATACTGTATTCTAGAATGCAGCTCTTTTTCTTCCTCCTGCACTCTCCCGCCAATGGATAGCAGTTTACCATTTGCTTCCCTTTTGTTACTTATTTGTAGTGAGTAATGCAGTTGAATGCTGATTATTCATGCATATCATATGAGTATCATATATTCTGTTGTCATCATGTCCTCTGTTCTCGTGCCTTATGCTTAAAACTTTTATTTGTGGAACAGATTTATTTTCAAAGGGAACAAAAAAGATAAAATTTGATGAAAGTGGAAGCCAGAGTAGCCCTACTGTTGCATATAGCTGGCGGGAAGAATGCGAACACGAAAAAGGAAAGGTGTCATCAGGAGTTTTTGGCCGCTCTGATCCGTTTGCGATTCCGGACTTGCTTGAAGCGTTAGATTCTGGGAAGTTTGGAAGTGTCACCAGAGAGATTGAGGACCTTATTAAGCGGCGAATGAAGTTAGTGAACTCTTGTTTTGCAAGTGATCATTCACTTCCCAACAAAGTCTTGGAATTAGAAAGGAACTTTGAGAAAGGGGAGTTCAAAGGAAATCAGCCTGCGCCCGATGTAATTGACTTGGAGGACGAGCAGGAAGCTAAAGGCGTTGCTTCAGCAGCAATGGTTCCCTCTACATGTTTTGGACCTTCAGCTGGGCCTGTTGTTATTATTGATTCAGATGATGAAGACACTCAAAAAGACTTCATCTCTCCATCTCAGGGGATGATTCACACTCAGAAGAGTTCTATTTCTCCATTTCAGGGGATCCCCTTACAGAATGCTTTTATTGACTTTCAAGTTAAGGATTTTGTGGTAAGTACATTCCAGATTGTTAAATTCGTGGAAATTCTTTATGCCACTGTTTGGTGCTATGTGTGGTGATGATGTTATTCGAAGCAGCATCACTTAATTTGCATTTTTCAATTATCTTGTTTTTCTGAAAAAGGAATCTTACTTGATCTGCTAGAGAAAATATCTGAGCATGTTCTGTAATTGATCATGGTGAAATATAAGCTCTGACCTCCAAATCTCAAATCATATAGATCACTACTATCTATCATGGAAGTGAAGTCATGATCTACCTCAACAGGAGGAATCTAACCACTCAGTCAGCGCGGTGAATTTATTTATTTGTTTTAGGAAGATGCAGGGTAATTTGTTGCTTCCAAGTAGTCCCTTGTCAAATTATAAAAATTTACCTTTTAGAATATCATGGTATGCAGTATGCTCGACACTGTAAGAGTTAGAAGCATAGGATATGTACCCTTGAACTTGAGGAGGAGTGTTAAGACTTAAGAATTTGGAAATTGTTAGTGGCAAGAGTCTATTCCTTGTAAATATGGGAAAGATGTAGAATCCCTGTTATTAAGAATAGGAATTACTTTCTTTTTCTGTTTTGAATTACTTGTAAACACTATTTAAATCCTAATATACTTGTGGAATGATCGAGCAATTCATTTAAGTCTTCTTTTCTTTTCTTTCTTTGTTGGGGAGCGTGGGTCAGGGGTAAGGTGGGAGCATAAGCGGACAGGGAATGGATTTGAGGTTCTTGATCTCAATGCTTACCAGTATAAAAAATAAATATGTGGCATCTTTAGGCTAAACAAAGGGATAGGAAGTGTGAAAATACCTATATGTGTGCATAAAGCTTTGACAACGTCTTCAGACAATCTAATGTGAAGATTGAGAAAGAGACCCTCTCTAATGTATTGATAGGCCAATCAATCATCACACATCTTGCGTTTGATAAAAAAGGATATCACAATATGTCTGGGAAATCGGGACGGGTGTTTAATATAGGATTGTTGGAAACTTCATCAGAAACTCTTGACTGTCTGAGGCAGCATCTTAAAGTTAAACTTCGTTGAATTGTGTGTCAATGGTATTTTTTCCTGTCTCAATAAATTCAGTTGCTATTTACATCGGATTTTAGAGTTTTCATCCTACGTTATGGAGGCCATGTGACTATGTGCTTATACTGGCTAAAAGGGCATTTACTGCTATATATATATTTGTTTTTTTTTGATATGGTAAATGCATTTACTGCTACATAAGTCTGATAAACACTAGATCATAATTTCTTGGTGATGAATACTGAAATTTTGTCCTTGTTCTGCGATCTTGAGCTCAGGAAATGATTTCATGATTTCTTAAAAACTGTTACTCTGTGAACTGTACAACTAGTAACATACATTTTTTATGGAAGGTAATATTTTGTCAATAAACGGTACCAAGATTTCACATATATCAGTTACATCTTCCCGTCTACCCTTCAACAGTCCTCCTATTCCTTTCTACCTTTTTTTTTTGACAAAGTCCTGTCTACCCATATAAACAATACACACAACAGAATAGTATTCGGTACTCATCTAAATATCTTCCTGATCTTCTGTCCATTTCAGCTGTAAAGTAGTTGTTCCACATTCCTAGGCATCACTCACTGGATTTTTTAAGATTAAAGAATAAATTCCATAACTGCCAGGCCACTGTGCAGTGAATGAAGAGATGACTAACTGATTCAATCGTCTGTTCACATATAGCACATCTGCTGCATAGATTAACCCTCTTCTTCGTAGATTATCTTGTGTTATACAAAAGTCTAGAGCTTCAACCCACCCAAAACAAGCCGCTTTAGGTGGAGCTATTGTTTTCCAAATTAGATTCCAAGGCTAATTGCTAATTCTAGGCTCATCTTGTTTCAATAACATCTTGTAACATGATCGGACTGGAAATTTCCATCAATTTCTCATGTCCGGATATAACTTTTCCGCACAGCTTTAGGGTGCAATTTATGAATTTTTCCTATTCCCACAACACAAGTGATCCTTAGTCCTCCTTTTCCTTGACACCCAATACCTTCATTAAATCTGAGATGTGAGAGCTGTGGAAATTGAATTTCAAAGGGTTATCCCCACAACACAATTGATTGTTAATCCTTCTCCTCTTCCCTTAACTCCCCAAAAACAACATTGATCATCTTGTTTTATATATGGTTGGCCCGAGTTCTCTTGCGTCATTTTTATTTAGTCAGATATCTTATGCTTCGCTGCTAATCTGTTTGAACAATGCAGGGGCAGGGGAGGGATTCTGCTGAAAAACAGACTTTGATAGAAGCTGTAAGCCTCGGTGGGGAAGCTGAAATAAAGAAAGATAAAGGTGTTTATGTTGGTGTACAAGATGATGATGAGATTGATGATGGCGCTGAGCAGCCCGATGAAGGTTTGAATGATATATGGAATGAGATGTCGTTTGCTCTCGAATGCTCAAAGGTACATTTGTTTAATATTGTATTCAGCTGCATAGTCGAAACGTTGGTTATTTTGACCCTACAGCAATGAATAACTTTCTTTACTAGGTTCTGCCACTATATTTTAAGCTGGGTTCTGGAATAGTGCCTAGCAATTTGGGAGAGAATTGATAATTCTCTGTGCTGGCAATCCTAAATTATCAGCTTCTTTTGGATGTTTCAATTGTTTATGTATGTATTATCATTCTCCCAGCGAAATTTTAAACTTGCGCATGCAACTTCTATAGTCATTTCACTTTATTAGAAAAGGTTTTGTAGTCATTTCATAGGTGTTTACTATATACATGTATGGTTCCTCATTGTAATACCCTTGTACCTTGCGATTTTCATTTTTGGTTTTTTCCTTTGGGGGCAAGGGAGATGATGTATGTTTAGGTGTTAAAAGCCGAAGAGAATGGAGTTGCTGACACTCGCTATGATGATGTTTTTTACGAAATGTCTGCTGAAAATATGTATTATTGTGTATTAGTCGGTAATGATGGAAAATAAGATAGCTGTCTTAAACTATCAGTCAATAAATGAGAAATGTTGTCTAGATGACAATGAATGGGATAGTAGTCTGCTTAACTTTAACGACAAATCACTAGATTGTGGGATTTTGCAAGACGCCATTGATCTGGTGGAACGGGTTGACTTTGCTCAGAAGGATGTAGAGGATGTGGAGGCAGATTACTTGTTCAACTAAAACCTGCTGCATTTGTACGCTCAAAGGAAATTAGTTCCTTATTCAATTATAAGAGATATTTGATATTTACGATAGATAGTTGGTGAATTATGAGGATACTCATTTGTAATGAAAGTTATATATGTAGTAAAGTCAGGCAAATCAATGATTGCTGAGCTGTTGACATAGGTTAGTTGAACTTCACTCATACGAGGGAATTGGTAAAGTGCAAAAGGGAACCCTTAAAAGCTGGCCTATTTTGTAATTTTTCCTCAATCAACTTTGTAGCAAACTTGACACTGTACTTATAGAGTAAAACTAAAAAGATGCCTGCCTCTTTTTATGTTTGATTAGAAACTACCTGTCGAGAAGAGTCCGTGAAAACATGAATAGAAAGATATGTCAGAATCAAGCATATCAAAGATGAACATGAAGCATCAATTTCGCGAAGCATGTAAAGCATTATGCTTTGAATTGTTTGAATTTAAGATTCTCAGGCCTTAGCTTCTTGGAGTCCTACTGCAAAGTACTCCAATTGTGAAACAAATGTGGGAGTTCCCATAAAAGGGTAGGTTGGGTCTGGAGGAGTTTTGGTCAAAGAATTGAACAATTCTGATGGAGGAAGCTTCATTACCTCCTCCCAGAGCGATGATAGATGATGCAACCTCAATTGAGGAGTTGTGGAATCAAGGATTGCTAAAATTCTTTACAAAAATTGAAACATGTATATGATATAGATTTGTCTTTTAAGTTTCTGCAATCCTTTCAGGATTTGTAGGGGAATGCAATACCTTTTGTAAATATCACTCTGTAATACCAGCATGTGCTTTTATGTATAGAAGTCTTACTTGAAGAGTCTGTCTGTGTGTGTGTGTGGGTGGGGGGGGGGGGGAGCCTGGTGCACTAATTCCCGCTATGCGTGGGGTCCAGGGAAGGGCTGGACCTTGTTGGGCCCATTGTACACAACCTTACCTTTCATATTTGCAGGAGGCTGATCCCTCGGCTTGAACCTTCTCTGGTCACACAGCGGTAACTCTTACCATTGCCTCAAGGCTCTCTTAAAGAAAAAATCTTATCAAAAGAAAAAAAAAGATTGCGCAATATAAGCTTGGTTGGTTGCGGTGAGCGTCTCTTGAGCTTGGCATGCAAGCAGCAAGAAATTGGCTTTGTAGCCACGTACACTGTACAGTGTGGGGATAGATCCACTATGGCCTGATGTACACATTGTCTAAGGAAAAAGAAACAACAGATGCATCGAGGATGCCCCATTCAGTGTTTACTATGAATTATAACTGTGATATCTAGCTTTATTATTCATACGTTTTAGTTTCTTCTGCCTTTTCCATAATTTACTTTCATAAAGTGAATTCTTTCAGTTTGGTTTCTTGTGAACCTTTTTATGAATTTGTCCAGGATTATATGCAAATGGTCGTAAAAGCTGAAATATGAAAAGAAAGGACTAAGCTTGAGTGGAGATCACATTATACCTTGGACCAGTATTAGCGCTATACATCTGTATGCACTTTAAAATCATAGTAGACTACATCGCTTGCAGTACCTTCTTGATAGAATCTCTACGAAACATTTGCTGTATTGGCATTTATCTATCTACAAAATCGCCTTACGCTCACGTTCCTTTTTTTCCAACCACATGTCGAGTTGTACATTTCAAATGATCACATCAAAACACGCGTGCAGTTGCAAATCAAAGAGAGTATTTCTTCTAATGTTAGAGTCAACAGTTTGCCTTGTTGTATATGTAAATTGTTCTTTCCTGGCTATTAGATATTCTACGTTATATTTGATTGTTGCATGTATAAATAGGATGTTGCTGCTGAACCTTCACCGAATGAACATACAGTTGAAGAGGAAGACGAGTGTGATCATTCCTTCATCTTGAAAGATGATATTGGTTATGTCTGTCGTATATGCGGAGTCATTCAGAGAAGCATTGATACCATCATTGAATTCCAGTATTCAAAGGTCCGGCTTTCAATCCTTTATCATCTTTTGTTTTGGATATTTTGCTTGGGAAAAAATTAGTACATTGATCATGATTATTTGTGTTAACTGTTTTTTGCTAAATCATCTGAATTGCTTTGGACCTTGATGATTAAGTTGTGTAGCATCTGTCATTTGACCTATTAACCCAGTTTACTGCCAGTCTTAGATGAATGTTTATTTGACTTAGAAACAAATGCTGGGCGAGAACCGAAAGTAACTTGTCATCCTTGCTTACTGAGTCCGAAAAGTTAACAATTTTTTTGGTATTCTCATTCACTGTAAAATGGAACTCTTATAACTTTCTAGATACTAAAACATCAGAAGGAAATGAATGATGATTTTGTTACTATAAGAAGAAATTGCATAAGCTTTTTTCGCAACTGTTCGGGGAGGTGGTTAGGTTATCAAAAGCTTTGATTGGCTCATCTTTGTGACCCTGTCTTAACCAGTCTGAGGTAGCATTTTGGGCTGGTTTAATACAAGTCATGACTTAATTAGATGGCCTTCTAATCTAAGTATCTGGAATTATTTCACAGACGTGCTTTTTGCGTTTTTTAACAGGCCTCCAAGAGTATAAGAACGTACCACTATGAAGGTCGGTCAGCCAAGGATACAGGGCATGCTGAACTCCTTCCTGAGGGCATCATTTCATCTGATGACATTGATACGACTGAAATTTGTGTTCATCCAAGACACAAGAAACTGATGAAAGCTCACCAAGTTGAGGGATTTAATTTTCTTGTTAGCAACTTGTTGAAAGATAAAGGAGGCTGTATCATGGCTCACGCCCCTGGATCTGGCAAGACTTTCATGATAATCAGCTTCCTACAGAGTTTTATGGCCAATAATGATAGAGCTAGGCCTTTGGTGGTGTTACCTAGAGGAATCTTGGCTACATGGAAGAAAGAGTTCTTGAGGTGGCAGGTAGATGAAATTCCCCTCTATGACTTCTACTCAGTAAAAGCAGATAATAGATCTCAACAATTGGAAGTTCTGAAGCAATGGTCGCAGGAAAGAAGTATTCTTTTTCTAGGCTATAAGCAGTTCTCAACAATCGTGTGCGACAATGTTGGTAGTACGACTGCAGCTGCTTGTCAGGAGATTCTGTTGAAGTGCCCATCAATTCTCATTCTTGATGAAGGGCACACTCCGCGGAACCAAGACACTGATGTTTTGACTTCACTCGAGAAGGTCCAGACACGACTAAAGGTGGTGCTTTCTGGCACCCTCTACCAAAACCATGTTAAAGAGGTCTTTAACATTCTGAACCTTGTGCGGCCAAAATTTCTCAAGTTGGAAGATTCCAGAAACATCAAAAGGACAATACTGAGCAAAGTGGCCAGCTCAGGCAGAAAGAACCTCTTGAAGAAAAGTAATGATAATGATTTTTATGAGTTAGTAGAGCATACATTGTTAAAGGATGACAATTTCTCAAGGAAGAGTTCTGTCATACTAGGTCTGCGGGATATGACCAAGAAAGTGCTTCACTATTACAAGGGAGACTTCCTCGAAGAACTTCCAGGATTGGTGGATTACACTGTCCTTCTAAACCTCCATCCTAAGCAGAAAAGTGAAGTTGCAGAGCTGAAGAAACTGGGAAGAAAGTTCAAAATCAGTTCTGAAGGAAGTGCAATGTATGTGCACCCACAATTGAAGAGCCTTTCAAGAAACTTTTCTGTTAAAGAAAGAGTTGATGAAGAGAAGATTGATATGCTCTTAGAGAATTTGGAAGTGAGGGAAGGAGTGAAGGCCAAATTCTACCTTAACCTGCTGCAGCTGTGTGAATCAAAAGGTGAAAAACTGCTAGTGTTTAGCCAGTACCTCTTGCCTTTGAAATTCTTGGAGAGGTTGACTGTTAGGACTAAGGGTTACAGTCTGGGGAAGGAAATATTTCTGATCACTGGTGATTCAGACTCGGAAACCAGGGAGTCATCAATGGAACGGTTTAACACTTCAGCAGATGCTCGTGTTTTCTTTGGTTCAATTAAGGCATGTGGTGAAGGAATATCACTTGTTGGGGCATCTCGGATTATCATATTGGATGTACATCTCAACCCGTCAGTAACCCGTCAAGCAATAGGGCGTGCATTCCGACCAGGTCAGGTCAGGAAAGTATACACTTACAGATTGATAGCCTCAGGTTCACCTGAGGAGGAAGATCATCAAACTTGTTTTAAAAAGGAGTCTATTGCAAAGTTGTGGTTTGAGTGGAGTGAGTATTATGCCCAGCCTGATTTTGAGATGGAGACTGTCAATATTGAAAACTGTGATGATATGTTTTTGGAATCACCACGTCTTAATGAGGATGTGGTGGCTCTGTACAAAAGGTCAGCGAGAATTACTTTCTTTGAGTTGATACTTTTTATGGTATTTTGACTAGTATTTCTGATCCCTTTTTCCATTTTCAGGTAGACTGATTGAGAAGTATCAAACAGCTCAAGTGCAGATGTGGTCATCTAACAAATGGTTGATCCATTATGCCAATGAAAGCTTAGGGTCTGACAGGAAATGCTGTGTTATTTGCAGACTGCATATTATCTGGCAATTATTTTTGTCCAGAACATGTCAATGTTCAAACTGATTGTAAATATTTTTCCATGTCCAAGACTTCTTGTTGTGTAAATCTCTTCATTGTGCATCCTCTTTAATGTTATCCTGTAGAAGATGTTAGAGATAGAGATCTGAAAGGAAATTCGTAGACCTCACTTCCACCGAGGTTACTGTGCTATCGTTCCCTTTCTCGTTTTTTTTTTGCACCTCTAAAAGGACTGGTTTGAATTATGAGGTTGATTAAACTTGATTAGCAGCAGAAATAGTTTGGAACTTAGAGATCTACCACCGCGAAATCTTTTCTCTAACCCTCTTGGTGATCTGTGAAAGCACAAAACTTGGTATGAAGCTGGCTCTCAAAGTTCTGCTTAGGTAGGAAAAGAAGATACAATATGAGACTAGGCTGAGGCTAAGAGATCAGGAAATGCATATAACATATTTCCAACTACACAACAACTATGTTCAATCTCAAGCAAGTTGGGATCGACTGTATACCAAATTCCAACTATCAAAAACAATAGTATCTGTAATATCTTTACAGACTTTACAGAATTAATAACTTGGGGAACTTCCCATCCAATAGTTTGCTATATTACAACATTAATTAATGAGACTATTACATCACAGTGAACTTGACTTTAAGCTTCAAACTAACCAGCTGAGTGAAGCTGAATGCTTCTTGGATGTTCCCAAAACTTGCAGTGTAATTCTACATCACATATCATGCTACAAAATCATGTAGCAGATGGGAGGAGCCAAAAAGGATGCTGCCTATTCCCAGAATCCAAACAGTTGAATTCTGCTGTCTCAGAGACCATAGTAGTAGGTGCTGTACTATATATCTCATCTACCCTTAATGGTACATAACTACCGTGAGACTCGATAGACATCGGTAGGCTGCTTCCTTCACCTTGCTGCAACCCCAATGTAAGTGAAACTCCATTAGGAAGTACATTTCCACTTCCAAATCTACCAAAATCTGAGAATCTATCATTGCCTCGAACAAATGTGTCCTGAAAAAGGGTGCAATTATCCATAGCAGGCCGTGGTTCGTCTTTTTGAGTTTGATTTTCCATTCCAGATTGACTTTGAGTTTCTGCATTATTTGCTCCTTCCATTTCTACATCAGCAACATGGTTTGATTTTGACTCCAAGATTTGGTCACTATTGTACTGCTCATATTCTGAGGTTTCATTATGTTTCAATTCTTCTGTTTCTTCGACTTTTGAGTCTTTTGTTGCAAGTCTGGAGGAAAATTCTGATGGAGAGTTTGAGTCCATTTCAATATCACCAGCTTCTTCTTTGTACATTTCCTCAACCATAGGCTTCCAAAGACGTACTCGTGCATTTATAAACCAATTTGATACCTGAGACATGACATCAGTTCATTAACGAAATATGAAGCCAGTATCAAACGTCCATGTAAAGTAAAAGAACCAACTGCCTACATATTTATTTTCGATTGGAAATTGCCTACTGTTTAAAACCAGAAGAACTTTTCTGTAAGACACTATAGACTCTTTTCAGTGCATTAAAGTTTTCCTGCCAAATATAAATACTTTGAGTAGCTGCACTGATGCAGGAGGACCCCTTTGCCACTGGACTCAAATGATTCAATCGACATAAAATTCAAGAACTCCTTTTCAGTAAACTTCTACTCAGTTAAGACCAATAATTGTTGACGACTAAATGATCCCTGAATGTTATCAGTGATGTAGAAACTTCCAACACTGGTGGTTAACTACTGAAGTGTTCAATGCAGATCCGTAAAGCAAGTAAACCGGGCAACTTATCCTGACTACAGCAAATACTGAAATACCTTGACAGGGGAAAATTTAATTATAGGATGACTATGAGAAACAAACAGCCTGGGTCCATAAATGTAACATTTAAAGATTTTATACAGCCCTAGCATTTTAGTGTGACTCATGGTAAGAAGACCGTAGTTTCAACATGTTCTATTGCCTTTTTCATCTGGATGATCACTAGGTAATAAACATTCTTTTCGTGAACAAATAATTCCACTCCAGGATGCAATAATCGGCGTACCTAAGGTCTGCAAGTCAAACATAGGATAAATGTACTCACTAAAGTAAGACTAATGGAAACTGTTTCAGATACAAAAATACACATGCTGAAGGAACAATGTCATTCTTATAATAATCAATCTCTAGCATGCCAACTTTCACTATCTTGAGATCACTAACTGTCTTAGTCTTCTATTAAAAAGACTCTTTTGAAGAAACATAAACATCCATTTGTTGGCTTCAAGAAAGACTAATATATCTTAGCATTTGCAAATAGTAAGACCTTATACCTGACTTCTCGTTAAACCAGTTTGTCTTGCTAGCATAATTTTGTCAGAATCTTTCGGATAGCTGGAAAAAGAGAAACAATTACAAATTAGACGACCAGAGTTCTTTTTTGGAGATAAATTGGATGACTGAATTGATCAACTTACGGATGAAGAAAATGCTCGAAAAGCCAAGCGCGCAAAATTGAAACAGAGCTTTCAGGCAAACCCCTCTGAGGCCTCCAGGCATGTTGTTGCATCATACCAAGCTGCTGTAGGGCTCTCTGCTGTCTAATATGCTGATCCACATAGCGCAAGCGTGATATTCCAACCGCTTTGCTGTTTTCTGAAGCATCTTGCTCTCCAAGACTTCTTCGTGATACTCGAATCTGATCGCAGATTGCATCACGCAAGCAACGGAAGTGACGGGAAATTGTCTGGAGAGCAAGAGCTGTGTATGGCTTAGCTGCTCCATCTCCAGCTACCACATCAAATGATGAGACCACTATTTGCATCTGATGATAATATTGTCTGTACCTTCTATCAATCTGTGACAATAAACCAACTTCCACTTTTTATTCAAACCACATATGGCAAAGAGATAAAATGGTTTAAATTAGCTCCTAAATTACAAATCTAGCCACATATCAAGATAAAAATGGGGAGGAATCTACATTTAGGAATAATACCTACTACAAATCCTTGTAGCGAACTCATATTACCTATCACACTGCAGTTAGTCATGCCTTATATTTTAAGTTTGCCTTTTTACAGAAGCCATTCATTGGAAATACAGTAGTGATACTATTATAACACTTGACTCTCTTTTATTATCCCTATGAAGTGATTGTTTGAAGTATGCTATTTCATTACCAAATTCATGGAGATACATCTAAGAAATGCTTTCTAAATGCTGTCTGGAAGTCAAAGTTCCATCAGACAAGCTGCTTTATTCATAGTAATTTCCTCGGCCACATTGTAATATATCAAAAGAAGCACATTTCATCACAATTAAAGGTCCTTTGGGGCAAGTTAGCCAACGGAAAGATGAATATGAACCGCCAAAGAAGTCCTTAAAACACTGCAGCCACTACTTTGACTCCTTTTATGCAATTATCAGTTGAAATAAAAAATTTGGGATGTAGAGTATTAAAATCCTAAACTAATGAGCAAATACATGCCACAAATACCTTGAAAACCACCAAAAATTGATGTGAAAAACATGATTTTCCACGGATCATACCTCATCCAGCATCGACAGAAGCTTGGTCAGTTTGTTCTGCACTTCTTGCTTCTCGGTTTGTGAAAGTTCACTTTGGTAGTTTTTCGAATCTTGAGGATTTGAACTCCCATTTGCAGGAGGATCTGATGATTTATTTTTCGAGTCGCCATCAGACTCTCTAGACTCCTTTGTCGACTCTTTCTTAGAATTATGCTCCTTGATAGCCTTTCTGACATTAACAACCTCATCAAGCAAATACTGAGCTGCTTTCAAATACTTTGAGTTGGGAACGTTTCTTCCAATACTCGACGTACCATATGGAGAATTATACCCTCCTTTCATAGCATCTGAGTTGCTTCCAGGATAATCTGGAGGCAAATAATCTGCATTTCTTTGTTGTTTTGGTTGGGAATTATCACCATCTCCGAAGGACACATTGCCACCACTAACTTCACCTGGAATAGATGAAGCAGGATTCAAGAACGACGTAAAACCTTGGTTCGGATTCTGAGATTGGACATGTGAAATTCCAATTCCAGATGGTATATTGGAGCCAAGACTGAGGTATAGCATCTCATTTCTGCTGTCTCTCCATGCAGAAAAATCATGAATTTCCATCCGTGATCCTCCAAGATTAGATAATATTTCCTGTTGTGATGTGTTGTTGGAATCGGAGGCTCCAACTGGTGGGATATCGATGCAGCTGTTTTGCTGTTGGGAAGTACCAGTCAACATATCTGAATATGTCCCAGAAGAAGAATAGTTCATGAACACCATCATGTTTTCTTGAGCATTTGAAGCTTCTGAATAAGAACCAGGCAGAGATTGCCTAAAGTATTGAAATGTCTCAGCTTCTCTTTGATTGTTTGGACTAGGAAAATAAGTTGCCATCCTTGGATTTCTCACTAATTCTTCTTCTCTTTTTTTAGTTCTGTGATGAATAACTTTTGTGTTTCAAATTCATAAAGATTGATTATAATTTATCCAAGTACAGTCTCCTGCAAAGGAAAATTTAAGATATCAATGACAGGAAAACGGAAGAGAATGCACTTCTATAGTGCTCACACTATGGTACTAAACTGAGTAGAAACATGAAATTGATTACGATTAACAGCTCAGTTGAACCCTTATCAGAGTTTTAGGCAATTCACTAATTCCAAACTCCGGGAAGATAATATTAAAGCACGATCAAAGACGTGACAAATGTCAAACTTAAAAAGCTGTTGCACATGTTTATATATGTATGTCTCACTTAACATGATATCTTCAAGAAAATTGAAGTGATGAATCAAACAACTACTACTGTGGCTCAATCCCAAGCGAGTCGGGGGTCGGCTATATGAATCTTCGCTGTCCATGTCGCTCAATTTAAGCTCATCTCAGTCTAAAGAATCAACCCAAATTCAAAATCAAATCACACAATAATAATGACTAATAACATATTGACTCACCCATCTTTACCAATGCTTATAACTCCTGACCAGACAAAAAACCACAATTGCATACCAAACAAGATGAAATACATGGTCTTTGCTCTCCACACAATCCATTAAAAAAATAAAACATGTAGTAACAGATAATTTGTTAACTAGAGTATAAATAATGAAATTCGGCAGTAACCATTTCCCAATAACAGTCACGTGAAAGCAGCAAACTGGAAATTACTATTTACAACATGTAATTCTTTTCTTCTATACAACAGATATTGGCCACTGACAAGAATCCATTTATTTTAGAGTAGTTAAGAACAAATTAAGTCAAAATAGAGAAAATAGTAACTACAATAATCTTTTACCTGAAAACCTGCAATATTTGTGTCTTCTCTGGGGAACAGAAAAGCTTCGATCGACCAAAAAATTCCTTCTTGAAAGCAAAAACACTGATCCCTATACTCAAATACCATCTCCTTTCACTCTTTCTTTCTGGTTTTCAGACATAATACAAGTCAAAATGACCACGAAATAAGAAACTCCAAACAACCCCCCAAAAAATGGAAAAAAAATTAATCTTCAATGTACAAAGTAGTAGTAGTAATAGTAGTACAAGAAATTAAATCATCAGTCCTGTAGTACTCTTCTTACTTATCATATATTCTCTATCCATCAATTTATCTATTCACACGTGAGAGCTGCACAGAACCATACAAAATATCACACGTATACACATCCCTTTCTCTCTCTCCTCACTTTTCTTTCTTACACACTTTCTCTCTCTATATCTACATGAAAGCTCCAAAAATTGTTTTTTTCATTTCCTTTCCAATATGCAGAATTCAAAAGAGACAGACTTTCCTATGAAAAATCATAATCTTTCACTTTCAGTATCTATCTCTTCCTTAATGAGGTTTTTATTCTGTTGTTTTTGACTTGTTGTTACTGTTATAGTTATATACTTGGTTCTTTCTTGATTATTTTTATTTTTATTTTTTTTAACAATTTTAGTTTTATGTTTGGTTAAGAAGTGCAATCTCTAACTACCAGTTGGTACGTAGACCTAAAACCTCTCTAATATCTTTCTTTTTTCTTACTCCTCAACTTCTGTATGTTCCTCTCATCTTAAGCTTGTATAGAAGGTTTATTTTGCAGCAATATCCACCATACATGACTTTGATAAGATATTTGTTTTCTTTTCTCTACGTGTCATTTCTATTCCAAATATTTGATAATATTTTATTTTCGTTTCTAATTCGGTGTTAGGTATTGCTTTAGACCCAACTAATTCGAATTCACATTGGAAAATGTGACTCCATTCCTATGTTCGAACCCAGAGTTTTGATTAAGGAGGAATGATACTTAATACTTCACTACAACCTTTGATAGTGATGTACTTCCTCCGGTCCAAAATAAGTGATTTTTTTTTTGAATGTTTTCACACAGATTAAGAAATTCACCTTTTAGCATTAATTAGCAATGGAATTGACCATATTAACCTTTACTATCTCACATGAACACTCCTAACACATGTTCCAACACTATTTACTCCAAGGACAATGTAGGAAAAAAATAATTAATTCATTTTTGAAATCTGGAAAACTCACTTATTTTGGACCACAAGAAAAAGGCCAAAAAATCACTTATTTTGGACCGGAGGGAGTAATATTTTATTTATGAATCTTTTTCATGATTATCTATAATTTAAACTCATTAATAATTTTGAATTTTGATATGGAGTACTTACTTTGTCGAATTAAATATTCAATTATTACTTTAATAGTATATTCCAGGTTAACACAATATATAATTCAAAGTAGCGTTTGAATTTCATGCAAAGTTGAAAGTGTTGCTGTCCCATATATGGAGTGGAGTATCATTTTTGCAAGTAAAAATAAAGTAGCATTTATTTCTTTTTTCTAATTTGTTTCAGTTAGTAAATTTTAGTCAAGTGTACTTTCTACAGTTTTCCTTTTGTCGAAGGGCAGACAATACTACCAATATTGTTGCTTTATATTTGATGTTAAGTATATCCGTAGCTTCTTTTCCTATCATGATAATTAGTAATGTAAGGATTCGTTTGGAACGAGGGATAAAAGATAATTAATTTTAAAATTAAATTTAAAATGAGTTTATCTCATGTGTGGTTGGAATAAAATCGTGATATAACTAATTCCGAAATTAGTTATCCCGGGATTATAGTATTTTTTTATTCATATGAGAGGGTGAAATAACTATTCCCGAAATAACTAATCATGGGATAACTTGTTTCCCAACGAAACACGCTCCTAAATTCTAAAGTAAACCTGTTCGTAAACTCAACTGACAAATAGTGTCTTTTAAGTCATAGTCCTCACTCCTCTCTCTTAGTTTTTCTCAAGTACATTAATTAAAAGTTGATTTTTATTTTTTTGCTAAAATAAGGACATAAGCAATATATCTTTCATTGGTCAACGAAGCAAATTAGCAAATACCTATGTTAAACTCTTACGCTTTCTTTCCTAGAAAAGGGGGAATTTTTTAAAAATTTGTCCTTCATGGTTTCTACGGTGTTAACTTTAGCTTCTATGTTCGTCATCTTTTTTCCCGCATCAAGGTACAATTAGTGGTGTCAAACGGGCCGGGTTGACCCGGGCCCGGTCCGGTACTTAGGGGGGCGGGTGGGCTGGGTTACTGGGGTTAGGAGGTTGATCCGTTCACTTTAATTCATCCGGTTAACCGGATCGGTCAAACCCGATCAACCAAAATTCCTGTAGAACCGGTTAACCGGCCAGGCCCTGACCGGACCGGTTTAAAGGCTAGATTGCAATTTATTTTTTTTAAGGTTTTAGAGCCTAAGGCAATGCAAAACCTTTAAATTTACTCTTTTTTCGTTAATTTACTTGTTGTTAAATGTAAACCTTTCAATTTGTAAGTTTGAATTTTGAAATAAATGTAGCACTTGCAATTTACAAGTGTAATTTTTTTCCTTCTTCATTACATTATTTATATTTTTACTTTATATTAATATAAATTACAATAGTTGTACAAAATACAAAATAAAAAAAAATAAAAAAAATAAAAACCCGGCTCGCCCCGCCCCCTTGGACCCGTAACTCTTACGGTTCATTTTTTACCCGGATGAACCGGAACCCGTTAAGCCCGGTAACCCCTAACCCATAACCTGCCCGGTTCGAAACTCGGACGGTTTCAACTTTTCCCTACCCATCCTGGCCCGGCCCACCCGTTAGACACCCTTACGTACAATATACATTATGTCTTTGTTTTTCAGGTTTATTTACAATCAACGAGTCATTCTACTTTTATTCTCACCTCTTATTTTTTCAAAAATAAGACAATAAAACCAAAATATTCAACGTGTGTATGTGCTGAATTAGATGATTATCATCTTAATTTCACCTAGTTATATAGTTGAGCCTTGTTATATATACTGACCCGTTACATTTACCCTAAAACCCCAGCCAACAACAAAACCAAAGTTGAAGATTTAAAGTTCTGTATTTGTTCCACGCATAAAGCACATAAAGACTAGAAAATATAAATCTTACTCCATTATATATCCATGCATGTGACTTTAATTAAATTAATATTAAGAAATTTGCTATATTCTCCTGGAATATTAAGTATGGCGGCTTAACTAAAATTAGTTAACTGGATTAACTACACGAGATACTCGTTAAAGCATCTTGGTTGTTGTCTATTTATTAGACCTGCCTTTTTATTCAAAATTTGTACTTTCGTTACTGTTGTACTTGGAAAATCATGCAATAACGTGTATTCGAGCAACTCTTAGAGTCCTTTTGGCCATTTCCAATTTTTTTTCGAAATTAATGTTTGGCCGTAAATTTTTTAATTTTTGCTTGAAGATGATTTTTGGAATTTTTTGAAAATTTAAAAAACTCCAAAAAACTGTTTATTGTTATGAAATACTTGATTATGGTGGATGTCCATAACTTCTAAGGGAGTAACACCCACTACTCTTCTCCATTAACCTCCCACTACTTCTTACCATTATGGATGTAACTCCCACACCTCCATGATCTTCGCCCATGTTCTCAATAGTTAATACCATATTTATGGAGTCCCTTTGTATTACCTATATCATCCTATAAATAGAGGGTTTGGGCATCACATTGTACACACTTGAATACATGGAAGAAATAGTTTCTCTCCTCTCTTACTCTCTACATTGTTGTCTATCTTCTTGTTTTATGTATTACTTTGAGCTAAGTTTCGTAACACGTTATCAGCACGAATGTTATTTTATTTTCTCTAATACTTCCTAAAAGAAGTGAAAACCTTCCATGGAAGCTACAACTGCTTTTGCTGCTTTGCCAAGGAAAACTTTCATTACATCTTGATAAAGATTTTGTGGTAAGCACTAAAGATGATACTGTCGTGTCATTAATTTAGTCTTATGTGCATAAAGATGAGAAAGGTAAAATTTTATACTGCAATAGCATAGTTAACCTCATATTGATCTCAAGGCAGTCTCATTTAATGATAATATTTACTTGACCTTAGTTTGATGTATCATCTTATTCAATATGATGATGAGTGTTATATCTTCTTGCTTCAAATTCTTGAAAATTAAGATTAATATTAACCCCAAAAGGAAGGTATTTTGAACCGTGCAACAATGGTACTTTTGCATAGACATGTGATAAATTATAAATCTTATTAGATTATTTTTAAGCATGATAGTTTTTGCTTAGAAGCAATCCCATTCTCATTTTTAGAAATGGTACCAGTAAATCTTAAAAGCCGACCATGCATATGTGTGATACAAAGGAGTTGCTTCTTTATGTAACACGTGGGAAAAAAAAAAGATATTTTACAGTAGCACATGTAAACCAGTGCCTAATTTTTAGTCAAAATTACTAGTCATATACATGTGTCATTTGGTTCTCATGGCTTTTTATTTGTACGAAACACTATGTCTTGATTATAATAGTCTTTACTGTTTTCCATATATATGAACCAATGATTTGAAAAGGTTTATATCTGGCTAGTTTATTGGGATATATTTTGTGTAAATACAGAATATGCTAGTAACATTGAATAAGCTTGATTATTTACTGGAGTAGAATATATCTCATTACACTTTGGATTAATTTATAGTTACTGAAATGGTAGTGCATGATATACAGTACTATATCTAAATAATATGTTTTGATAAGTTTACATATAGTATATTAGTACATGAGTATTTACTGGACCAAAATTAATCATTGATAATATTTCTTATCATTTTTAATTCACTTATTTTTATGATAGTGTTACTATGTTGAACTTACTAAAGTTTGATTTATGGCTATGTAAAATTATATTACATTCCTTGAAGTGAATTAAACAATTTGTGTTAAATATTATATAAGATAAGACGGTGGATTCAAGTCCCAATGCACCATGAGGATAAGACATCGGGTTTTGAGTCCTGATGCTCCATGATTATAAGAGTTGGGTTCGAGTCCCAACTAATTATGGCCTAAAATGATTTTATATGGGTAAGACATTGGGTTTTAGTCCCAAATGCGCCATATTGATGATATAATGATGACTAAAGAAAAATAACATATTTTTCATGAAAAAGCACGAAGCATGTCCCACTTGATTTGCACCATTCTTGAAGTGAATGCGGTAGCAGTGCATAATAAGTCTAAATGTAGACAGGTGGTTGACCAATGAACATGGGCGTGCCAAAGACAATATTAATAGTCATCATTATGGTAATTGTAAAAATGAGAACAACAAGGGTTCTCAAATATTCCTTCAAAATGTGAAGGTGATGTTTGCCATCAATGTGGTATGAAAATAATAAGCATGCCCATATGATAATAGTCCACTTGAAGAGAATGTGACTTGTGATATGCATTGTAAATGCAAACTCATTCTTGAAAGTGAATGTGAAAAATATATATGTGATTCAAAATTATGCATAAGAATGTGCTTATGCAAGATTGGATAAATACCACAACTCATTTTTAAGGGAGGTTTGAAAGAGATAAAGATATTGAATATTACAATGTGGTTACATAAATA